AAAGCTAATATCAGGACAGATTCATATCTTTATTTTAGTTCTGTGCAAAATACATATTTATGCAAATAGGTTAAAGCGTAGTTGAATAAACAAAAAATTAAAGTCAGCAGCTACAAAAACTGTTTAATATACAGACACTTGCCTGTCCCTTAGTCCAGTGGTGTCCTCATCATGGCTGGTTTCACCGGCTGTCTTCTCTCCCCGGAGCCTACATCTTCAGTGGGGGCACCCGGCTGTGACAGCTTGCGGCTTCACAGCCTGGTGCCCACTGCGCATGCGCAAGTAGTGCTGTGCTTTGTGAATGATCCCGTAGTCTTCTGGGACCTGTCACATGACCCAGAAGACTACAGGGAGGGAGGGGGAGGACAACTTCTGCTTCTGATCACCTTAGGAGATCGCACCGGAAGTGGGATCGGGTACCTGTCAAATTCGGGTACCCGCTCCCCAAAGGAGCCAATCCTTAATGGGGAGCGAGGGACAAAGCCATAAAGTATAATTTCTCTCTTTGGGTGGAGCTCCGCTTTAAATTGTGCATTTTATATCTGCCATAAGTTTAACATTAAGTGTGTAAATAAAACTAAAGTGCTTCCATAAAGTAATTTTTACAAGGTTTGCACGCTACTACACATAGGAGCTTGATGAGGACATGTATCTAGATCCCACATAAAACTTGCTGCTTTAATAACTGTTACAACTTCACATGGGCAGGAGGCCAACCTAAAAAAATTCATGCAAAAACAACTGAGACTATAGCATCAATCAACCAGTGCTGCTGTTTGAGTTTTAACATGAATCAACATGACCCCAAAGTAAACATTTACCGAGCAATTCTTTATGTGGACATGTTTGTGCAACAAAGCCACTGACCATTCTTTAAAATTTATTCCCTGCAAAGATCATTTACTTTTGTGGCGTTGCCCATTTAATCTAAAAATGTCAGCAACAATTTCTACCCTTTTAATTGAAGATAAATAGTTTTCTGTAAAGATTACTACATCAGTAAATGTATCTTTTTTAAATGCAGGCAGTGTAATTTCTGAATTTGACCTGGTATGAGAGGAAGAAGCTGCACAAAGAGCCAGTCAGTTCATGTGCTGACAATAAGCATGCTGATAGGAAGGGAAACAGAGTGAGATAAGCTCATTACTGCTCTACTTCTCCTTTCACTGTCCAGTCACAGGCCAGGGTGTGTCCATGACCGCTTGGGCCCAGAAGAAGCTCGGTTTATGATGCTGGCTATCAGACTGAAGACATCTAATGGTAGAAAAAAAGCACTGTCAGGGATAGCTGTGATGAACCGCCTTGGTGCCTCCGTCAGAGAAATGCTCCCTCGCCGCTGGGACACAGGACTAAGGTCCTGGGGTAGCTGGGCATAGCACCTGAGGTCTATACGATGCTAGCTTAGGTGCAACAAGGAACTCTTTATTGAACAGAATTTTTTTTTATATACTTCAGAAATAGGGTCAGTCCCCACATGCACAATAAAAACAAATATTACACATTGGGATAAACATCCACACTGATTAGATAACAAGGTAATGTTGACACCAGACTAATCTCATCATGTAGGAACCTCCAGGAGGACTAGCCAACAGACAGAAACAATAAGAGATATCAGCATAAGGTTGCTTTGAGCTGATTATATTAACATCTGCTAGGAGGGGGATTTAAGCAGTCAATGTTGGTTTGGGCACCGAGACCCCAAATCTGTATCTTGGTCCTCCACTTCTCAGAGTCTATGTGTTTTGAGGAGACATGGACTTGAATCCAAAGTAAATCTACTCCAAAAGGTACACACCTCCCAAAGAATAGAGCCCCCTCAAACACCAGGGCCCATAGTCAGTAGGCAAGAGACTAGCCTGCAGTCTCCTCCAAAAGACCCTGTTCTGGTTAGGTCTCTCACAAACACAAAGGTAAATAATGCCACAAAAGCTGCTTTTATTTTATATTTTATTAGGCTATTATTTTTGTCTCTTTATTTGTAACTGGAGTTCTGTTTTACACTTTCAATTATTTTTACAAAATTATTACTTCTACTGTAACCTTTTAACATTAGTGGTTCCATTACAGTTTAAAAAAAATACTAAGGATCTGAATAAGCCCATATGTGGTTACTCTATATGACTGTCTCTCTCCAGCTGAAGATATACATGAGGCTGTATGAGTTTGAGGAGGGATGTTGCATTCCTCTTATCATTTAGATAAGCATTTGAACAGAGTTGAACAGCAGCAGGCCAAATTATACTAGGACACTGAATGTACCACTTGCTGGCTGCCAAATATTGAATGTTCCTATGCAGTATTTCACATTTACCTAAAATATATACAACATTTTATTGTGTATTATTTTGTCCTGAATGTAATAAAAAGTAAAAGATAAGCAACAACTCTATACATTCCTTTTAAATAAATATATTTGACATTAGAATGTGCTACTGAGTGCACACCTCTAATATCCATTGTATATAAACAATACCAGGATGAAGAATTTCTCTCTAGTGTTATATGATCATTTATGTTGATAAATGAATCCATGCTAAATGACATTTTTCTTATTCTGACAGTTTCAATCCTTTGAAAACTAATGCCCACCATACTATATATAGATTGTAAGCACTAAGTATGGAGGACTAGTCTTCAAAGAATGCCAAGACTGCATATTCTGCTGTACATCTAAATTAGCCATAAAACTAAATGTGAGAGCTGTGCGTACTTTAAATCCCCATAAAAGGAAAGTAGCTTTTCTCCACTCTAAATTCCCATTTATTTTCCAAAAATAAACACCACTGCACACATCCACATATGTGATGAATTTGAATTTAATTGCTAAATATAATTTGATTTTGAATGGGCTGCTGTTTCACATTCCCATACCGTACTTATGAAAGACGCAGACATACAGTCATACTTCTCCCTGGAAGCATTTGGACAGGCAGCTCACGATGGGAATGTAACATAATATAAACGTGGTCATTTGAGTAATTCACAATGTTGTTTTTCTCATTTTTCAGATTCCACTCCCTTACATTATTTGCAGATTAGGAGCATTTACCAGATACCAGAAAAAAGTGGAATTTCTACTTTTTTGTAGTAAGGAAAAAAATAAATGAAAGTGTTGCTTTTAAATACTCATACTTTAAAAAGCACATTTGTTTAATGTTGTAGGACATTTATTGGGTTTATCTTAAATAAATAGGAAGTATGATATTTAGCAAGAAGGTTTGAGAAAATCAGTGTGTGTGCATGTCTGCGTGCGTGTTAAATGGAAGATACACGGATTGTCCACTATGCTTAGTAAATAGGGTGAAAGGAAGTAGTCCCTACTCTGCTAGGTGGGCTGTCCCTATATCTTTAGTGGATCAATCCCAATATTGGCATGTGGCTTGGCACACAAATACGTTGGACCTGCTTTGCTGGATTGTGTTAGATGTACACCAGTAAGCCACAACATTTTGACCACCCACCATAACCCATCAAGACATGACTCCACTAGACCTCTGTAGTATCTGGCACCAATCTTTCCGTAGCAGATCCTTTAAGTCCTGTAAGTTGCGATATATGGCCTCCATTGATCGACTTGTTTTTCCAGCACATCCCACAGATGCTTGATTGGATTGAGAGCTGGAGAATTTTGGAGGCCATGTCAACACCTGAAACTCCTTGTTGTGTTCCTAAAGCCCTGAATTCATACCATTGCTCTGTGAGTTGAGATGCACACATGCCCATTGTAGCTTAATGCTGATTCCTTGGCAGCTGTTGACACAAGCACAAAATACTCTTTTTGTGCTGGAGCCCACTCAGTATCACTGAGCCCCAAACAAGAGATGTTGCTACAAAGAGCCTGCCTTTCGTAAACAAAGAGCATTTGCCTTGTCCTATGATCTGTTACCATGCATACCTGCTGGTAGTTTACCAGGGTAAGTGGGGATGATTATCACCCTCTAAAATATGTGTATTTAGGAGTGGGGTATAATATATTCCTTTTCCTTCTTAGTGAATCTTCTGTTTATGTGCTTCTATGCTCACCCAGGGATATGTCAGCTCAGTTGGCTCCTACAGTGTTAGTGCGCCCTCCTCCTGTCTGACACAGGTGTAAGTTACATATGGCTATTTAGACCATATCTCATGATTATGTTATTGGAAAAATATTTTTGTTGTATATATGTTATAATATGTTAGTACATGTTGAGGACAAGCATGGTGGGACTCCCAATGCAAAATATTTATAGCAGTGATGGACTGAACACCCAGCGCTCAGTTTACGGTCGAATGTTCGAACCTAATGAATGTTCGACCGCAAACTTTGAACTAAATGCAAGTCTACGGGACTCGAACTTGTAAATTCAAAAGTGCCCATTTTGAAGACTTATATGCAAGTTATTGGCCATAAAAAGGGTATGGGGGCTTGGCTATTGCTCGGAGGGACATGAATCAGTAAAAAAAAAGTCAAAAAGTACCATTTTTAATGGGGCAACTTTTTTCATTGCTTAACTACTTGCCTTCCAGACCAGGCCATTTTTTGCGATACGGCGCTACATTACTTTAACTGACAATTGCGCGGTCATGCAACGCTGTACATAAATTTAATTTTTTTCCTTTTTTCCCACAAATAGAACTTTCTTTCAGTGGTATTTGATGACCTCTGCACTTTTTGTGCTATAAACAAAAAAGACCAACAATTTTGAAAAAAAACAACAATATTTTTGACTTTTTGCTATTAAACATATCCAATAAAAAATCCCAATATGTGTAAATGAATTGGTTTAGATGAAAGTTATAGCGTCTACAAATGGCGATATATATACTGGAATATTTTTTTTTCAATTTTCTATACTAGTAATGGCAGCGATCAGCGACTTAGCAGGACAGCAGCGGGCATTCTGACATTGGGTGGGAACTGACTAACTGCCACTAACATTCCTAGTGACACTAATACAGTGATCAGTGCTAATAAAAAGCACCGACACTGTACTAATGGTACTGGGCAGGAAGGGGTTAACGTCAAAGGGTTAACTGTATGCTGTGTGTGTTTTACTATGTGTTCTCTGTGCTGTTTTACTAGGGAGACATGCTGTTTGCTGTGCAGAGAAATACAAAACAACATGTCCATGCTGACAGAGGAGAGACCTGTGTTGTTTACACACAGGTCTGCCCCCTGTCAGCTTTGGACGGTGATTGCCGAGTGCTGGCTGGGAATCTCTGGCCGGGACCCAATGATTGACATGCCTAGCCGCCAATGGCCTACCAGAAATGCAAATCACGTACATATCCGTGATTTTGCACACCCCTGCTACCCTGTAGCAGGGTGGCAGGGAAGCAGTAAAGTAAAAAAAAAAATGAACAATTGCCTTAAATATCATGCCTGGAGGGTCCCCTTAAACTACATGCAAATTTGCACATCTGTACAATGTTAGAACCTGCTGCAGCATGACTGACATTTAAAAAAAAAAAAAAAAAAGCGTGGGGTCCTCCCCCAATCCAAACCAGACCCTTCTGGTAACTTCTGGTAGGAAGGTTAGGAGGGACCCCACAGTAAAAAGTTTTTTTTAAAAAGTGCATGGGGTTTCCCCTGAAAGCCATACCAGGCCCTTTAGGCCTGGTAGGACTTTTAAGAGGAATCTCACCCCCAAAATTTGGGGGGAAAAAAGCATGTGGTCTTACCTAAATTCCAACCAGACCCTTGATCCAAGAACAGGCCTGGCAGGGCAGGAAAGGGGGGGATGATGGAGCACCCCCTCCCTGCGGCTTACCAGGCCACAAGCCCTTGGCATGGGGATGGTGTCCTCATGCCGATGGGGACAAGGACCTCTTCCCCACAACCCTGGCCCAGTTGTTGTGGGGGTCTGCAGGCAGGGGGGTCATTTGCATCAGGGTACCCCTTTAAATAAATGCTTCCCCACACCTCGTGAATGAGTAAGAGGTACTTCCTCCCCTACCCATTTACTAAAGGGTTAATTTCATTAAAAAATAAAGAGACCAGACTTTTGAAAAATGTCTTTAATTGAACAAAAAACAAAACAACAGTTTTTGTCATGTCCTTTAAAAAAAAAAGGCCAAAAAATGGTTCCATCGTTGTAATCCATCGTCAATCATGGTGTCCAGCGTTGTCACGATGACGCTGACTTGCTGAAATAAAAAAAAAAAACCTGATGCTTGCCAACCCGTCCACACCCACCAAGCACTCGCCGCAATATGACAGGTCTGACATTTGCCGGTCAGATGTACACAACTAGGAGTGGCTAGCGGTGATGTCACTGCCGACGTCACTACTAGCCCCACCCAATTGTTAACATCTGACCGGCAATTTTTTTTAGTGCAGTGAATCGGCAGCGTTCAGACAATGCTGAACGCCGTGATTGACAATGGATTACATCGATGGAACAATTGTTTTGCTTTTTTAGCTTTTTTTTAATTAAAGGACTTGTCTAAAACTGTTGTTTTGTTTTTTGTTAATTTAAAGGAGTGTCTAAAAAGTCTGGCATCATTATGTTTTCTAATTTTAACCCTTTAGTGAATGGGTAGGGGTACAAGTACACAAGGGGGGGGGGCAGCATAAGGGTCCCCCCTTATTTAAAGGGGTATCCTGGTGCTAATGAGTCCCCCTGCCCGTAGACTCCCACAACCACTGGGTCACAAGGGGAAGAGGTCCTTGTCCCCATCTGCATGCTGACACCATCTTTATGCTGACGGCACATGGCCTGGTAAACTGCAGGGGAGGGGAGAGCTCGATCACCCCCCTTCCTGCGGCTTACCAAGACCTTATTCTGAAAACAGGCCTAGCAGGGCAGGAAGGGGGGGTCGGCTTACCAGGCCATGTGCTGTTGGCATAGGGATGGTGTCCCCATGCCGATGGGGACAAGGGCCTCCTCCCCACAACCCTGGCCCAGTGGCTGCAGGGAAGGGGTGGGCACTCGATCGCCCCCCCCTTTCCTGCCCTGCCAGGCCTCTGCTCAGATCAAGGATCTGGTAGGAATTTAGGGGGGACCCCATGCTTCCCCCTCATTTTTTGGGGTGAGGTTTCCCTTAAATTGGCATGGTGACACCATCTCTCAGGGCCTGGTATCCCTTTTAGGGGGAACCCCACACATTTTTTCCCCCTCACTTTTTGGAGGTGGGGGTTCTCCTTAAAAGTCCTACCAGGCCTAAAGGGCCACACACTTTTTAAAATAATTTGTTTACTGTAGGTTCCCTCCTAACCTTTTTACCCACACTTGGGTCATATAATTGCATATGTTTTTATCTCAATTAAAAAAGTGTAGCTGTATTATATACTAGATTACATTCTATAAGATATTATTATATCTTCAAACGTTTAGTTGGAGCAGCTGTCTTTTGGGTGGGTCATTTGAGTGCAGTATGACCTTCCTTGATTTGAAGATCAAAAAGATACTTTATAGATGCATGTTATTATGTTATAGATTTATATTGGTGTAAGTGCTTCCTTATGATTTATCAATTTAGTATTCAAATCCTAACACTAACTCTTTTTCTTTTTATCTAAAACTAAAGAAAAACTATTTAAATGGGAGTTAAGTTTTAATCTGCTAGGAGAATTAATACTATCACAGTGATAACAGCAACAAAAATACTACAGTGATGAAGATATCATGCGATAAAAGAATTCGGTACTCATTTACAGCAGGCTAAATTATCAACTGTGTGCCAAAATGAAATAATATAGATCAGCCTTTTTCAACCATGGTGCCCAGGCACCCTGGAGTGCCTTCATGTGTAATTAGGGGTGCCTTGGTAAAATATCAAAATTGCGCAAACATTGTACACAAACCAGAAGGTGGATCAGGCCTGCCTTTTAGTTGCACAAAGCCACGGATTTTCATTGTGCACCATCACAACCTTCTAGCCGCTGGCATCCTAGTAACCAATGATGTCTTCGGTTGATATAGAGGATGTCGGGCACCTGCACAGCATCCTTGCGAAGACCAAATCACCTCCAATGTTGGGTGTCCTGCATGTGTGGAAGTTGCTGCGTTATGAAGGACTATTTTTTTTTTTTTTTACATTTTAGAATGGGGTGTCTTGAGATTGTGCATAATTTTAAAGGGTGCCTTGACTGAAAAAAAGGTTGAGAAACACTGATCTAGACTTGCTGTATAGCCTCTAGTTAATTCTGGGTAGGGCCATTGACTATTATTTACTGAATATTCTCCATACTGAACACCTTACAGAGGAAAATAGTAATGAAAACTAAAGGTTCAGCTGTCTGACTTATTTGTGTTATTTTCTTATATGCAGATTCATATGGAGTTGCTGTATCTAGAGAATGAGCACTAGCATTCAGTAACCATTTGTAGCAGGAAGAATAGATCAGTACAGACATTTATTTTTAGGTTACTGTGTCAACATATCTGCGTATATTCTGGACTTTTTGCAAAATAGATCCTCACATTTTTAGTTGATTCTGAAGTCGGATTACTGCATCAGAATTGAACCTACTGTAACTAGAAGCTATTTCACAATCATCACAAGCAAACATCTGGATGCCCTGCAGATGGCACCAGACTAATGTTTTGAACCAAACGCAGGCAAACTTGCATTGTTAAAAAGTCCTTAAAATGTTTTAATGAATTGGTTGTATAGTTCCTCATGGAAAAGTCAGGTTCAAAACTGCGCTGAAAGATAGCAGGTGAATAATACACCTTTGAATCTGAGTGTTTGTTGATTCTAATTATGAAAAATGCCTACAATGGCATTTGGGCTTCCAGGTGAAACTTCTGCACGCTTGTATGCTTGTATTGCTATGATAGATGTGCTAAACATTAATACCAACCTGTTGACAAAGGAGTATGCACTATTAGTAATTACTTGACAAAAGCAAGTATAAATAAAAATAAATTAGGTCAACACAACCAATCAGAAATCACATTTTAATTTTCCAACACTGCTCTTACTGGCATCCATAAGCCCAACATAGAGAAATGTTTCTACTTTTAATTCATTCTTGTCATACTATGGATACAGGTAATAACCAAGTAAAATATAATTACTAAGATCAGCATCTGATACTGAGTTTAAACTTACCTAAATATTGTCCTTTCCCCTCTCTGAAGGGTGGACCCAAAGGTCCTTTAATCATTGGGTTCATGTATTTCATTTGAGGGTATGCTCCTCCAGCTGGTCCACCTGCAGACACAGATCCCACAGCAGCCACCAAAAGGAATAAAGTGCTACGTCCCAGGGACATCTTGAATTTAAACTGGAAAGGGAGATGGAATAAAACATTCACATTAATATCTGTATCAGTGATGCCTCAAGCTTAAAGTAATGTTGAAGGCAGATTATTTTGTGTGTAAAAATAACAAACATGTCATACTTACCTGCAGTGGACAGTGCACAGAGCAGCCTCAATTCTCCACCTCCACGGGTCCCCTGGAGGTGGACCCTACTTCCTGCTTAGTGCCCCCATAGCAAGCAGATTACTATGGGGGCACCCGGGCAGCTGCCTAGTACACTTAATTGCCAAAAGTATTGGGACACCTGCCTTTACACACACATGAACTTTAATGGCATCCCAGTCTTAGTCTGTAGGGTTCAATATTGAGTTGGTCCACCCTTTGCAGCTATATTCAGATCTTCTGGGAAGGCTGTCCACAAGGAGTGTGTCTATGGGAAAGTTTGACCATTCTTCTTTATGAGGTCAGGCACTGATGTTGGACGAGAAGGGCTGGCTCGCAGTCTATGCTGTTATTCATCCCAAATGTGTTCTATCAGGTTGAGGTCAGGCCAGTCCAGTTCCTCTACCCACAAAACTCTGCTTTGTGCACTGGTGTGCAGTCATGTTGGAACAGGAAGGGGCCATCCGCAAACTGTTCCAACAAAGTTGGGAGCATGGAATTGTCCCAAAATGTCTTCGTATGCTGAAGCCTTAAGACTTCCCTTCACAGGGACTAAGGGGCCAAGCCCAACCCATGAAAAACAACCCCACACCACAATCCCCCTCCAGCAAAATTTTGTTTTTGGCACAGTGCAGTCAGACAAGTACTGTTCTCCTGACAACAAGCTCTCTACGCACTGTTGTTATGCTAATCTGAAGGCCACATGAAGTTTGGAGGTCTTTAGCTTTTGACTCTGCAGACAGTTTGTGACTTCTGTGCACTGTGCGCTTCAGCATGCACTGACAACTCTCTGTCATTTTATGTGGCCTACCACTTGTGTGCTGTTGTTCCCAGTTGCTTCCACTTTGTTATAATACCACTAACAGTTGACCGTGGAATATTTAATAGCAAGGAAATTTCCAGGATGGACTTATTGCACATGTGGCAACCTATCACGTTACCACGCTTGAATTCACTGAGCTCCTGAGAGCAACCCATTCTTTCCAAATGTTTATAGAAGCAGTCTGCATGCCTAGGTGCTTAATTTTATACACCTGTGGCCATGGAGGTGATTGGAACACCTGAATCTAATGATTTGGAGGGGTGTCCCAATACTTTTGGCAACATAGTGTATGTCTATTCACACATGGAGTGCAGCTTGGTCCTGACCTGCTCTCTTCTCATTGGTTCACTGGCTGTGATTGACAGTAGCAGAAACTATTGGCTACAATTTCTGTCTCAGCCAATGAGAAGGGAGAGACCCAAGAGAGCCAAAGTACTCATGCAGATTGCTGGATCGAGATGGGGCTCATCTCACCCTCAGCCCCTCATTAAGTTTTAAGAAGGTTTTTTTACCTTCATGCATAGGATGCATGAAGGTAGAAATTCCTTCAAGCCTTTACAACCACTTTAAGATCTCAATAACCTTCTTATATCTAGTAAAAATGCCCTCCTTGGGCATCCACCCCTGCCAAGACCATATGGTAGAGGTTTTAAAAATTGTAATTTATGCATTAAAAACACTTGGACAAGGTGCACTGGGTTACAATAGCTTGGATATTGATCTAAGCTACTTTAACAATCCTAGATGTTGGACATAGACCTCTTTTTATTGGTAAATTGAGAGGTATGACTTTGAAGTCCACTTTAAGGAACCCCTTTTGACCACTTTAGGCTCGCAGCAATTTTATTTTTTGGCACTGGCATAATTTAACCTTAAAAGTGACACTAAAGCGACCTATTTTAAGTATGTATTCTAAACTCAAAAAAGTACCTTCTATTCATTTTATTCTCCTCCAAATCTCCAAATTCCTTTTTTGGCTGCTGTGATCTGACTTCTTTTTAGAGGGTGTCTATGTTCATTCTACATGGTCCCACTGTATGTAGGAATATAGCCACCATCTCTTGCTTGCTCCTGCGATAGACTATGAGCTATGGGATTTGTAGTGTGCATGGAGCAGTGTAATGACCATGACTATCGTGCATTGCTCCCCCCAAACAAACATTAGTGAGGGGAAAAAGGAAAAGTTAAATAGTTTTGCAAGAAAAAGTAATTTACAAGAAGCAGGGAAACACAGTAAGAAACAATTTCATAAAAAATTGATTACAGGGCAATTAAAGAGTAACTCTACTTTTGTGGTGAAAAAATAGCAAATAAAAAAAATGATATAGCATATACAATTGCAAAATTGATCATATTGTAATTGAGTGTTATTAAAATTACCTTTCCTTTTCAATCTGCAATACTTTAATTTTCTGTGAAAGCAATATGGCAGCCTGGGGGCGTTCTGTACATAGATGCTGTACAGAATACCCCCCAGATATCTCATTGCCAAGAAGTCTGCAATAAGATACAAGTCAGGTTTCTGTCATCCCTGCATCAAAAATGTCATTTTTGGTGAGATACTCCCAAAGGGAAATCACGTCTAAAAGGATGCAGACCCTGCAGTTTTCCTCATTAGAGCCCTGCAAGTAGAACAACTGATTGATAATTATGAAATCCCTAATACAGATTCTCTTGCACATGGACACAGATAAACAAACAGCTATTTCTTCAGAATAACAAAAGGTAGGAATCTACAACAAAGTTTGTTAAAATCTTTGCAATGTACATTGATCACCCAGAGGGGAATGTTTTTTTTCTCCACAAAAATAGAGTTACTCTTTAAGCAGTAGATACATATGTGTTATTTTTGGAGAACAAGAATATAACTTAGTATCATTTAAGGTTGCTTTCATTTTGTAAGAAATAATTTGAATATTTTATTAGTTTATATTTTTCCTGTCATAATTGGGGTTTCTATCATTAGTGAAAGAATATAAACTACATAGTAAATCTCTCTCTCTCTCTCTGTATATATATATATATATATATATATATATATATTAACCCCTATTCGTGGCAGAGGGTAAAACAAAAGCAAATGCCTGAGCACAATTTTGAAACTTTGACATGTGTTAGTAAAACTGTACAAAATAAATTCTCTAGCTCCTGAGTATTGCAGCAATACTACATACAGTCAGGTCCATAAATATTGGGACATCAACACAATTCTAATATTTTTGGCTCTATACACCACCACAATGGATTTCAAATGAAACGAACAAGATGTGCTTTAACTGCAGACTGTCAGCTTTAATTTGAGGGTATTTACATCCAAATCAGGTGAACGGTGTAGGAATTACAACAGTTTGCATATGTGCCTCCCACTTGTTAAGGGACCAAAAGTAATGGGACAGAATAATAATCATAAATCAAACTTTCACTTTTTAATAGTTGGTTGCAAATCCTTTGCAGTCAATTACAGCCTGAAGTCTGGAACACATAGACATCACCAGACGCTGGGTTTCAGCCCTGGTGATGCTCTGCCAGGCCTCTACTGCAACTGTCTTCAGTTCCTGCTTGTTCTTGGGGCATTTTCTCTTCGGTTTTGTCTTCAGCAAGTGAAATGCATGCTCAATCGGATTCAGGTCAGGTGATTGACTTGGCCATTGCATAACATTCCACTTCTTTCCCTTAAAAAACTCTTTGGTTGCTTTTGCAGTATGCTTTGGGTCATTGTCCATCTGCACTGTGAAGCGGCGTCCAATGAGTTCTGAAGCATTTGGCTGAATATGAGCAGATAATATTGCCCGAAACACTTCAGAATTCATCCTGCTGCTTTTGTCAGCAGTCACATCATCAATAAATACAAGAGAACCAGTTCCATTGACAGCCATACATGCCCACGCCATGACACTACCACCACCATGCTTCACTGATGAGGTGGTATGCTTAGGATCATGAGCAGTTCCTTTCCTTCTCCATACTCTTCTCTTCCCATCACTCTGGTACAAGTTGACCTTGGTCTCATCTGTCCATAGGATGTTGTTCCAGAACTGTGAAGGCTTTTTTAGATGTCGTTTGGCAAACTCTAATCTGGCCTTCCTGTTTTTGAGGCTCACCAATGGTTTACATCTTGTGGTGAACCCTCTGTATTCACTCTGGTGAAGTCTTCTCTTGATTGTTGACTTTGACACACATACACCTACCTCCTGGAGAGTGTTCTTGATCTGGCCAACTGTTGTGAAGGGTGTTTTCTTCACCAGGGAAAGAATTCTTCGGTCATCCACCACAGTTGTTTTCCGTGGTCTTCCGGGTCTTTTGGTGTTGCTGAGCTCACCGGTGCGTTCCTTCTTTTTAAGAATGTTCCAAACAGTTTTGGCCACGCCTAATGTTTTTGCTATCTCTCTGATGGGTTTGTTTTGTTTTTTCAGCCTAATGATGGCTTGCTTCACTGATAGTGACAGCTCTTTGGATCTCATCTTGAGAGCTGACAGCAACAGATTCCAAATGCAATTAGCACACTTGAAATGAACTCTGGACCTTTTATCTGCTCATTGTAATTGGGATAATGAGGGAATAACACACACCTGGCCATGGAACAGCTGAGAAGCCAATTGTCCCATTACTTTTGGTCCCTTAAGAAGTGGGAGGCACATATGCAAACTGTTGTAATTCCTACACTGTTCACCTGATTTGGATGTAAATACCCTCAAATTGTTTCATTTCAAAACCATTGTGGTGGTGTATAGAGCCAAAAATGTTAGAATTGTGTTGATGTCCCAATATTTATGGACCTGACTGTATGTGTATGTTATTGGTGTTTGTACCTGTAGTAGGGCCCAGGAACAATAGTTCACATTTTGCTTTTTTTATCCTACTTAAAAACACACAGACACTGATAATAAATTAAAAGCAAAAGCTGAATAGTGAATTAGTGTTGTGCTACTCAGTACATGAATAAATGGACAATAAACATGAAAATAAATATAAATGAAATAAAGTGTTAAGATGAAATAAACCCCAGGTGTGAAGATGAAAACAATGCTGACACAGCAACAAGTGTAAAAACAGGGACAAGTGTAGCAAATAGCAACAGGAGTAAAAACGTGACCAAAAAATACTTATAGCACACAACAAAACATCTGCATAACCACAAGGTGTAATCAAACATGTGAATGAGTTATCAACAAGTATATATAAATATATAAATGAGTGTGACAGTAAATAAAAAGTCCCAAAAACAACCGAGACAGTGAATCTTCAGCACAAGCCGTGAGACATCCTATGGTCACTGCAAATGAACAATCCTCCACCAGCTAGTGTGTGCGCTCACCTTCAGAATGCAACCAGCAAGGGGTGAAAAGGCATATAACCAGACCGATGATCTCAATAAGGGTTGACCTCAGTAGTAAACAAAACAAGGACTCATCTCCAGTAAAAATGGCAAGCACTCATAGACGTAACTCAGATGTCCTTATAAGGATATGACCATAGATCTCTTTCTCCTCCAATATCCCCACATGAAAGATCAAACAGGAAAACTTCCCATAGTGTAGTAAGTTTGAAAGAATTTATTGTAAAAAAATACATAGAGAACCTACTCACATTAAAATTGGGGTCCGCAGACCCATACAGGCAAAACACTGAAATAAACTGCAAAAGGAGTATCCCTGATGAAGTCATGTGATTCGTGACGTAACGCGTAGGATGGAAGCGTGATGGCGTCATTTCCGGTACGGACAGAAGCCGCCATCTTGGTACTCCTAACCACATACACCTTTTGCAGTTTGACCTTTGACCCCAAACATAGACTCTGACTTTTAACCCTTACCATGACCTTACCAATAACCCTGACACTGATCTGCACCAAACATTGATCTAGCTATTTTTTTTCTTTAACTTTTAATATTTTGTTTATTATTTTTATTTAGACCTTTTTGTTTGTTTACATCTTTCTCCCCTGGCAAGGAGAGAAAAGATACAATGTATCTTTCCATTCAGAGAAGAACAAAAAAAACAAACATAGACGGGCTGCACAGTGACTGAACACTGTCATCATTGCCAATCAGAAGCTATCACATCAATCATGTGATTGGGAACCAGAAGTCCCAGTTCCTGATCGATAGTACAACACCCAGACCTCTCGGTGAGAGCCTGGTCTCTGTGCAGCGTGCTACCAGCAAAATCACTGGTACGCATATATGT